CTTTTACCAACGAACAGTGGGATTGACCATCACATTATAATGCCCCCACGGCTGAAAGGGGCGAGCATGTTTGGCGTGACGGGGATTCAAACCCACGACCCTCAGATTGCGAGTCGAGCGCCCTAACCAGCTGGCCATGCCGGGCTACAATATATTCTTATGTAATGAATAATTCTGTGTAAGTCAATTACCTGTGGTTGGTATGTCTGATAGTAAAAAGTATACTTTTTTTTACAGTTTTTCCTATTTTCTGAAGCTTTAGGTATATATATTCTGGCTTTTGTCAGATAACACCTTCATTTCAAAAAATATTTCTTAATTTCTAAGGTTAGTATTAAACATCAATTACAGTCCATGGTGAATGTAATAGTTCCACTAAAAATATGACTAATTTTGTTTTGTCCCTAGACTTGTAAAGGTATCCTGTTCCTTTCAGTTATTAGGGAGATATATGGATTGAATTATTTTCAAAAATAAAAAATTTGGATTTTAAATTTTGTTAGCTTAGACTAGACATCTTATTCTTAAAAAATTACATTTTCAGTTTACTAGAATGGGTTTTTGATATCATCACAAAATAGCAGAAGTTTAAACTAATATACTAACATAAAGCATTAACTGTTTTGCACAGCAATCCCTTGATAATAGTAGTGTGGTAGTATAGTACATTAATATACCATGGGTTTCTATCTTCTCATAGTGTTATGATATTTATTTTGAATTTATTGTTTGTTCTGAATATGTGCAGGTTTCACATAACACATGGTTAAGAAAACCATTAAGTTGATCCTGTCTCAAGTTACCTTTGTGCCTTTGTTATTCTTGAAATTGGTAATTCCTGTTACTGCTTGTGGAAAACATTGCCTACAACAACCTTGTGAATAATAAAGCTAGCTAACTATTTCTTCAATATGAACACTTCTCTTTGCACATTTTTTATCCATGTGCAAACAAATAAGTTATTGAAGATTTCTAACAAAATCTTTCTTACACATAGTTTTGTGAATTTTAAATAATTAATCTATTAATCCACATAGCACTTGAGAACACTAATAATATTATTAAAGTGTGAGTAACTTGTCAAATAAAAAGTTAATCTTCATGTAGGATTTTTCCTAAAATGATTTTTATCTTTATGGAGCAATCATTGTTTACATCAAATTGCCTTATTAGAATATAGGCTTAAAAATACTTTAGTTAGATATAATGTATTTAATAATAATGTTAACTCTCATTCAACCACAAGTGTTGTATTGCATGTGTGTGTGTGTGATGTATGATTCTTGCAATTTTAATAACTATAAGATATGCTTGAATCCAAAGACTTCTAGCTCTTCTTTCCAATCAACAAAGTATGTATTAAACACTGTAAAGTTCTTGACATTTTCTGTTACGAATCAGTTATCTAAGGTGTTGTAATAAAATAATCAATATCAGCTTCAATGTTTAGGAAACATATTCCACAGTAATTACAACCGATATTAGTTAACAACACTGTTAAACATTTATATATATAATAAAAGGTTGGTTCAGATATCGTGTGAGTTATTATTGTTTCTTTACCTATATAGACGAGGTAAAGCATATGCAAGAATGGAAATTAGGCCAGAGCATGTGACAGTTGGTTGTCCTTCTCCAACTTCTGTGGTATGTTTTTGTTTTACCCCTTATTTATTACTAGGGATGAGACAAATAGTACTTTCAGTCAGATTTCAGATATCTGGCTCCTTATATCTAATCATGTAGGAGATACAGCCAACAAATTGAACATACTGTGTATGCTTCAGCTACCACTTTATTATAGTATAGCATTAAACTTCTTATTTGGTTATTGTTGTTTCGAAATTTAAAAATTATGTACACAGGATGTACAGTTTCCTGCATTAGTAAATAACCATTTAAGGGAATGTGGCACATTGTGGTGTGAGACTGTTTCGTACCCCATCCTCCCATCAAGACTTATTTGCTCACAAAACAATGAGTAGACTTTTGTTTAAGCTACATAATGATGGTCTATTTTATGACTCCCAGGACTCTCACTCTTTAATACCAGAGAAAATGCTACTATGTTCAGAAGCTATTATAAAGTACCAAGGGACTAAATGACACATGTGCCTACATAGTACTATGAGATAATTTATGTGATTAACTGATTCATCACAAAATTAATACCCAAGCAGACCAGATTTCATCAGACAGTGCATTATCCATTTTAATTGGATATTTGTCCCATCCCTATTTGTTACAAAACAAAGATTAATTTGTAAAACATTTTATATGCAGTCATATGTTCTTGATACTCTTTTATATAAAGGATATTTTATCTAAAAATTTTATATATATACTTTTTATTTTATTTATTTAGTTTATTAAGAAGAAAGTATAACCAAGCTTACTTCACCACATAGTATCAGATGAGAAAGTTATTACTAATGATAAATTAGAATGAAGGCATTCCATAGAATCTTAGCAAGATATCAGTCTCATATACTATACAATAATTTAGAGTAATATTGATATACGAATTGCTAATTCCATAGTGATTTGTAATAAAAGTAGTTTTATTGCATATAAAATTCAAATTCTGATCCTCGCTGATAGCAATATACACAGACCTATAATATGCATAACAGTTAAATAGATCACAAAAACCTGATGTGTAGTATTATTGTGTTTGTTTGTTGATTTTTTGCTCAAAGCTATTAGAGGACTACCTGCACTAGCTGTCCCTAATTTAGAAGTTAGTGATGAGAGGGTGATGGGATTCAAACTCTCAACCCACAGGTTTTTTTTTAAATGTTATCACAGTATATTGAAACTTACAGTGTACTTAGTACAAATTTATAACTTCTATTTTGGCAGCCATATCAAAAAATGCATACTAAAATATGTATACTTCTCTGTGATTTGATATGTTTATGATGAATATATAAATGAAAAATTAAAGCTTTTAGTAGTGATTGTAAATAACTATAATTTCCAATTTTTTCAGGTTTTCTCAATCTCAGATAATTGCCCACCTGACAGGAAGATTTCTCTTCGAATGTAAGTAACCAACAACAGCAAGTTTAAAAAATGTATTAAAAGATTAGTGGGATTTGACCATCACGTTTGTAGTTCATTCATAACTCAAGCATGTGGAGCACAGTCCTGCTTCAATCAGTTGCAAACAATGAATCATCAGATTCACAGCCTAGCATGCTAGCCATTAGGCCATACCTATCTCTACCCATTGGATGGGCAAGAAATCTTCTTGAGATCTACAGTAATGGATAATTGATTATCCAACTTCACTCTGGAAAAAAAAAAATGCATTTATGCCCATATTATGGGTAGAGATGGAATCTCTATGGATCCTACTAAAATAGCAGTGGTACAAGATTGGTCTCAACCTATAACGAAGTGACAAATTTTCTTGGTTTTGTGTTGTTTTATCAACAATTTGTGGTCAACTTCTCCAAAAATTGACATACTCTTATCTACTCTAACTAAAATGTAGAGGCACTGAAGATTTAGTGAAGAATGTTAGTTTAGCAAGCATTTCAATTTCTGGAGCATGCTGTAATAGAAGCCCCAGTGTTCATATATCCACAACAGGACTGAGAGTTCTTGTTAGATGCTGTTGCCAGTGATAGTGTTATGGCAGTTGCAGGATGGAGAAGAACATGTAATCCTATATGCTATTCGTATGTTTATGGCTCCTGAATGCAGATACTGTATGACAAAGAAAGAACTACTTGCAGTTCTAGTTTTTGTAAAATACTTGACACTACTTGTATGGTAGAAAGTTCACTATTCTAGTGGATCATGCTTCACTTAATGGCACTTATCTTGTAAGCTTACTTTACATAAAATTGCTGCATGTTGTAGATGAAGGAACAAAGTTTTTACAGGACTGGTTGATAACGAATCCAGCATGAACTAGGCATCTGTCTAAAATGCTTTAGCCAAGTGAGGTTTCTAAGGTGAATTTAACCTCAGTGTCTTTAATAGTCAACAAGATTGTAACTAAATGTTCACTGACTTTACTAAATCAGCAAGTTTCGTTAAAATCGGGCCACGTGTTACCTAGTTAGTACCGTTTTTTGGGTCACTTTTATGAAAAATTTCTAGCATGAGTAATATTACATCACACTACCGTTCGCACTCTTTACGAAACTTTTTCGTTAAAATCTATTTCCCTGTCAGTGTTCCCAATGGTGAAGCTTTTAAAATTGCACCTAACTAGTACTCAACTTGTATCTGTAAGAAAGTCACAAGGGAAAGATAATAGGAGCATAAGTGAATTCTGATGGTCAGAAGTATAGTTTGGCATCTGTTAAAGTTCGTCAGTTCGTGTGTGTAAGATGTAGTTTTGCTGTCTTGACTCCACTTCTCACCTGTTAGACCAAGGCTGTCTTTACATAACCAAATGGCATAAAACATACCTAAGAATGGCATTATTCCATTTGATTCCATTTCTTCTACAACAGCATATACGAGCTTTTATTCCATAGCCTTATTTGGTAGGTTGTGATTCAACTAGGATTTCATCTAAGTTATCTTGTAAGCTTACTTTACATAAAATTGCTGCATGTTGTAGATGAAGGAACAAAGTTTTTACAGGACTGGTTGATAACGAATCCAGCATGAACTAGGCATCTGTCTAAAATGCTTTAGCCAAGTGAGGTTTCTAAGGTGAATTTAACCTCAGTGTCTTTAATAGTCAACAAGATTGTAACTAAATGTTCACTGACTTCACTAAATCAGCCGATTATACAGACAGATACTGACCAACAGGACAATCATCAGATTTCACTTTACAATCCTTCTCTGGTTTATAGTGACCAAATAGTACCAGAACTATACTTAGTCAAAAACAGAATGTTCACTGACTTTACTAAATCAGCCTATTATATACACAGATACTGACCAACAGGACAATCATCAGATTTCACTTTACAATCCTTCTCTGGTTTATAGTGACCAAATAGTACCAGAACTATACTTAGTCAGAGCATGCAATTTATCCATCCTTAGTTGGAACATTTCCTTTCCAGCATATGTGCTTTCTTAAGTTGGAGGTGAGCATTATTGTGGATCTGCCAGAGCTCATTGTTTTCTTGTAATCAGATGTTTCTATAATAACTTGCATCAGTTAATTTTAAAACTAAGTTACTAATACTCAGTAACTTGTATATTTAGTGCTTGCTGATGGAAAAACCTTGTTGTTTTGTTTTGTAAGTACCACTCTACATCTTGAATAATTATAAGGTAAAATCACAACCTTATCATTCTAAGTGAAATACAGGAATTTGGATTTTAATCAAGTATATTTATAAATTGTAAAAACAATTGATTACAACATCTCACTATCCCTGTTACAGTGCTTTTTCACCATGTTGTTAGTAGTGTTATCAATATAGAAACATTTTCCACAGGATAAATACCAGTAGCCAAACTAATATCACTTTCTTACTTTTTTTAGGCCAAAATCATCGTGTGAACCATTCACTACATTTTACATACCCAAGTAAGTTCTGGTTCGTTTCGCCTCAAGCCTTGCACTGGGGTATCGGGGATGTAAAACACTGTCTCATACCACCTTGCGCTGCATTTCATGAAAGGGTCTGCAAGTGGCCATTCACTCATATAGAACTATACATCCTGATTAAGTTTTCAAAAAACTGATGGAATAACTATAATGAAATGGTGTCTCATACCCACAGCAATTTTTCATGATGTATGGGCACATCTACTATCTAATATGAAATATTCAAATCTTATCATATATCACGAGCCATATATCTGCTTTCCAACCTAAATTACAGTTTAATCAGTAGTAATAAGTAGCTAACTATAAATTCCATCTTTTTCTTTTTTTCTAGAAATCCCGACTGACTGAGTTTTAGAATCAAGTACATGTACCTGGACATTTCTGTATATAGTTATTGTTTGTATAATCATTTATAAATATAGTGAAACACCATAGAATGGAAAATAAAATACAACCTAGATCAGATTTAAAATATTAAAACAAGGTATTTTACAAACCTGGTTGCACAATAGTGATGATAAGTATTAATACTAGTGCCTTCAGTCCACAACTTTCTATTTTACATAAAAGCAAACTTCAACAAATAATTTGCAAACCTCCAGACAATCTCCTTCCATTTTGAAAACTTTTTAGACTCTACATTAAAGAAAGAGAGTTCTGTTTTGTTGTCAGATATCACTAGTGCCTCATTAGTAAACCTCACTGATGTTTCCAGGAATGTTATGGATGTAATGTCTGGACTTTCTTTCATCTTTTGTAAGAATAAGTTATGTTGGAGATTGATCTTATTTTGTGCTTCTACATTTCACCCATAAACCTCCTTAAGTATAGTTTATTGGGAAATTTGTTCTTGCCATTTATCTGAGCTTTTATTAATAATACTTTCGAAGACTAGATCTTTTGTTGCAGTCATGATTATTTTCCTTAACAAAAACAACAGTAGATGTATTTTATTTTTGTAGTTTTATTATATACCCTTTCCTGATCCTTCATTTTTCTTAAATAGTATATAGAACTCTTAAGAATGAATATAATTATACTGCTAGGTAATGAAATTATCAAATATGAAGATTTTGAAAATGTACTTGTAAATCAAACAAAATGTGAACTGCACATTTTGAACATTAATTGGGAATCAACAAAATTTATGTGGAAGAAAATGGATAAATAGGATGGTTTGGTTTCATTAAAACTAAGACATTTCTTGTACATAAATTAGATGAAATTTTTGTCTGTCTCAATTAATTTTGTGAGTATTCCGAGATATTTTAATTCCACACAATAAGACATTTGAGTTGTTTTAAACCAGTAAACTTTGTCATGTTTAATGAAGCAAAGATATCATGGACTTACAATAACATATTCCAAAATTATATATTTTTATTTATAGAAATGTTTTGAATGACCCTGAAGCAATTACTAAAGTGAGCAGCACAGAGAATGAGGTGAGGCAACATAAATTAAACTATTTTATATATATATATATATATGTGTGTAACATTTCTTGTTGATATTTCTGATAATTTTTCATTATTTGATTTTTGGTATATACTAGTATCAAAAACACTTAATTTTAAAATTACTGACTTGTTTTTAAACTGTTAACTACCAGTGGGCTCCAAATATTGCATCTTATTGAATAATTTTATGTTTTTACCTGTTATACTTATCCTTGAAAAATTTGGTAAAATCACTAATTTTAATACATAGAAAACCTCAGAAGTAGTTGGTTGGATTAATTGCAATATATATGGTATTTTTGTTTAGATTGTTGTATGTGTTACTCAAATGTTATTAGGGAGCCATAAGCAATTTGTTGCATGAAAATGTTTTTTAAAAACATTGAGTCCTGTCAATAATTCTAGGGCTTAAAATAATTATAATGTGAACTTGAAACAAAATTAGTTTTTTAAGGCCTGGAAGATTTATATTGAAATCTTTTGTATATGAATTACAAATATATGTCTCTAAGGCCATTAACATTCATCATAAAAGCAAGTGACTTTGAAATTACTAGATCCAAATATCAAAGTATCATTTCTTTTAGAAAGCTCTTTAGATAACTCTACTGTAACTTATTTTTTCTTGATACTTTTATAGGATAGGTGGGATTTGAATGTTTAGAATGTTAAGGTGTAGACAGGTAGCAACCACTAAGCTCAGTGTTTCATATACACATAAAAACATTTTTAACTTTTGGAAGACAATTTTGATATATGTGAACTACACCTAAATGTAGATAATCATTGCATTATCAAGTTTAACTTTCTGATATTACAGTAGGGTTCAATAAACATTTTTTTCCAACTTCAGAAAAACATTATTTCTTGCAAATGAATAGTGGAAAATTTCTGGCTAAATTATTTTAAGCCTTAGTTGAGGTAGTTTTAACATCTCAGTATTAATTAACTAGCATTGTTGTTCAAATATTAGTTGAGATAGTTTAAACATCTCAGTATTAATTAATTAGCACTGTTGTTCAAATATTAGTTAAGATAGTTTAAACATCTCAGTATTAATTAATTAGCACTGTTGTTCAAATATTAGTTGAGGTAGTTTAAACATCTCAGTATTAATTAATTAGCACTGTTGTTCAAATATTAGTTCAGGTAGTTTAAACATCTCAGTATTAATTGATTAGCACTGTTGTTCAAATATTAGTTAAGATAGTTTAAACATCTCAGTATTAATTAACTAGCACTTTTCAACTATTTGTTGAAGTAGTTTAAACATCTCAGTAATAATTAACTAGCACTGTTCAAATTATAGTTGAGGTAGTTTAAATATCTCAGTGTTAATTAATTAGCATTGTTGTTCAAATATTAGTTAAGGTAGTTTAAACATCTTAGTATTAATCAACTAGCACTTTTCAACTATTTGTTGAAGTAGTTTCAACATCTCAGTAATAATTAACTAGCACTGTTGTTCAAATATTAGTTAAGGTAGTTTAAACATCTTAGTATTAATTAACTAGTATTGTTGTTCAAATATTAGTTAAAGTAGATTAAACATCTCATAATTAGTTAACTAGCACTGTTGTTCAATTATTAGTTAAGGTAGTTTAAACATCTCAGTATTAATTAACTAGCACTTTTCAACTATTTGTTGAAGTAGTTTAAACATCTCAGTATTAATTAATTAACACTGTTCTTCAAATATTATTTAAGGTAGCTTATACATCTCAGTATTAATTAACTAGCATTGTTGTTCAAATATTAGTTAAGGTAGTTTAAAGATCTCAGTATTAATTAACTAGCACTTTTCAACTATTTGTTGAAGTAGTTTAAACATCTCAGTATTAATTAATTAACACTGTTCTTCAAATATTATTTAAGGTAGCTTATACATCTCAGTATTAATTAACTAGCATTGTTGTTCAATTATTAGTTAAGGTAGTTTAAATATCTCAGTATTAATTATCTAGCACTTTTCAACTATTTGTTGAAGTAGTTTAAACATCTTAGTATTAATTAATTAACACTGTTGTTTAAATTCCTTTGTCTCAACTAATATTTGAATTGTTGTGGTATTATAAGTAATAGTTAAATTTCCTGTTACTGTCAATACTAATTAATGATGTTTTTTACTGTAATATATTTTCAGCAAAGTTGATAGTGAATATCTGATGTTCAACATGTTACATTTTATTGTAACTTTTTACCACAAACAGTAATCTATTTTACCTTTTACAAATTGATTTAAAACTTAAGGTTGAAGTGCTCTATCCTTGGAATGATCTAGGATGTCCAGTGAGGGTAAAATACAATGAACATTTTCTACCCATCTTGGATGTGTAAGTACTAACCTCTTTGAAACTGATATGTCAAACCTAAACTTTAGTGAAATTTTCCACACAAAAAATAAAATAAATTGTAGTGGTTCAGTTGACTTTAATGCTATATTTAAATATGACAATTTGGTAAGAGTATAAATTGATATTAATGTAAAAATATAATCATTATCATATAATTTTCCTCATTAACGTTTGATACCACTCAGACACAAATTTTGTAAGAAAATGTTTTTTAACTTTCAGAAACTGCAACCACATGTTAAAACATTAACTAACTTTCATGGGTAATTTGAGCTATGATTTTGTACTTAGCATACTTTGCTTTTTCATTTTCCAATCAAAATATCTCCTTTTCCCCCTCATGCAGTGGCTTAGCAGTAAGCTTGATAGCTTAAAACGCTAAAATTTACAGTTCAGACTCTAAAGTAGCATAAGGCAGATAATTCATTGTGTATCTTTGTACTTAATAAACAACCATAAGTAATTACGATTTGTTTTTCCGATTTATATTAGTTATGATGGCGATGAGTTTATTCGGACTGTAGGAAACAATTTCGTCATTTTTGAAGAGTTTGGACAGAATGATTATACCTACAATACTACTCTAGCACAGGTATAAGTACTTTGTATAATTGTCTGTTTTAGTTATATGCCTTTAATCCTCCTTTTGATATAAATCTATTAATTAATGTATTAATAGTTTGTTTTTATGTACCCAAACATTAATATGGATTCCACCATTATTCATTTTCTTTTATATATTTGTAGCAGTCTATGTAAGGAATCAAAGTACTCATATTACTTCATTGTATTTGTTGTTTTAAGAACAAATACTGAAATTGTAGCAAGTTCTTGTTTTTTATTTTTAATAAATATTACAAAAATAAATCTTTTAAATTATTGATTAATTTTTATGCTCTTTCAATATATATATATATATTTACAACAATAAACAATTTAATGAGAGACCCATTAAATGGACTTTATGTAGAAAGTGGTGAAAGGTTAAAACTCGGCTTCATTTGAGCTATCTACCTATCAAACAAATAATATTTTCTTACCAAACTTTGGGTAATATGTTTAGATGATCAGGTCCACATGGATCCCTTCAAAGTACCCTTTGAATAAGTGCATATTAAAGATTATTTCACACTTTTCCTGCTGGCTTACGCTGTTTAACTTGATTTACAAACTTTGTTTATACAGCCAGTGCTAAAAATTTAAGATATATTCATTAAGAAATAACTTGTTCCTTTTGCATAGTTTCCTTCATTTTGCTTACTATGTAATTTTTGATGGACCTAAAGGAAAGAAATGCTTAATTATTTATGTTAGAAGTTGATGTTTTAGTATGCTTGTAATTTCCGAGTCAGAACTGATTGATTTGACTACTCAACCTGACAGGATGGTCTTTACATTTACTGGAATTTTTAAATATTGTATTTAGTTTTATATACTTCTTTACCTGGTATTATAAAGAATAACAAAAACTGCTTCCAGTTTATGTGTAATTCTGAGAATTTTTATGAACCGGGTCACATGTTTTTCATAACATTTGTTACATTTTCTTCAACCAAATACATTGTTTCTTTTATCAAAATTAAAATGACTTATTTTTCTATTTTATTGTTAATAAGTTGACTGGAAAACAAGCTAACATCTCTCCTTAACTGGCTTTCTTTCTTTTACATTATGTTAGTATTTAAAATGTTTATCAGCCTTTACACGTACTTGGCAGCTCAAAAACATGAAATAACATCATGGTCAATACAATGTGCAAATAAAGATTATGCTGTGCCTACACTTAAAAAATCTTGTGTTCATTTCATTTTTTTCTTTGGCATTTGTACAATTTTTTACATTATCACACCCAATGGAACTACTTGCCTTAGGCTTTTTTCAGCTATTTTGAAAGATATTTTGAACTTATTTTTATTTTTGTTCTTTTAAACTATAAATGTGTTTTTTGTTTGAAGTTCAACATATCTGATGATTCAAAGAACTAGGGGAATTTTGTAATAATTCTGAACCCTTTTCAAGTGTATATGAAAAAAATGCAGCTTTTAGATGTCAGTTCAAAATAGGCATGTTTTTTACTTCCCTTTTGATTTTAGTCAATATCAGTTTCTCTTAAATGATTTAATGAGAAGCAGTGGCTGAAAATTATAAAATGTTTTCATAGCCTATTTATAGATTAATGCATAATTGTTACAGCACTGATAAGTGTACAAAAGCCCAAATTGGGGATAAGCAAGTGGTTAAGCTTCACTAGCATGAAAGCATGTAATAATTCTAGATGTTGTGTGATAATAATAAAAGCATAAACGAAAGCAGTACTTTTCATTAAAATTATGTTAGCATCAGTATGCTTAATCTATTCTACCCTAGTTCATTAGTTTAAACTGGGTGTCAATTTTAAATTGTCATGCAAGTAAACAGTGCTACAAGTATGCAAAACTGCAAATACTCATGTTTTATAAATTAATCCTGAAATTCTCAACTTGGTTTTATACCAGTGGGGTCCCACATATTGTATCACATTGAGTAATTTTATGTTTTTACCTGTTACAACAGTCAGTATATAGAAATGACCAAACAAATTGAGTGAAACCACTCATTTTTTGTTTTTGGTAACTCTAGCAATAATTAGTGGAATTAGTTGTAATAATGATGATATACTTGTCAACTTTTTTTTATGTCTGTTATGTTATTATGGACCTTGTAACCAACAAAGTAATAAACACACAAGCAATTTGGTGCATAAATTGTAAAGTAGAATGAGCTAAAAAACCAGTGGGGCGTATATCACTATTGGTAATTCCAAAGTTAGAAGTCCGTTAAAAAAACTAGTATTTTGTATATAACAACTTTCATATCATAGTATAGTGCTTTAGCACTCTCTTACAACAACTTATTATAACACTGAAGATAGATACATTAATATAGAGTTAATAATTCAATTCTTTATAAGTTTATCATTTTCTAAGTTCATGTTGTTTTCATAGCACAATATCATACAACAAGTGGAGTGTGTTAAGTTGAAAGAAAATGCTGCTAAAATTTTAGAAAATATTTTTCCCATTCGAGCGAAATGATGAAGAAAGATTTGTAAAACATAAGGTACATTTAAGTTTACAGAGACTATGTTACTTCTGTTATGTTAGTATGAATCTCTAATATTTATTGAAAGTCATATTCATTTAGAAAATGTAACTTTTTACTGAGCACTGTATCAGTGGAAAAAAAAAAAGATCTGTTTTTATATGTAGGTTGGTTGTTGGAGTGAACTCCCAGACATTTTAACTTTACATGAAGAAAACAAAAGTCCCAAAGATTTAAAAACAAAGGTAAGTATAAAATACTTTAGAAATACATTTATTTTAATCTCTTTATACAGAGGTTCTAGAAATTATGTTAACAAAACTGTTTATTTATGTTTCGAGAAACAGGGACCATGATCCTCTGTTACAATAGTGCATGGAAATCATTAAAACATAGCATGATCTCAACAGGAGTTTCAACACATATAGGAATAAATATTAACACATCTGTGAACATAATTCCTAGAAACTGTGTATTCATCCCAAACAAGTACATAAATATTCCATATTCAGTAATTGACTGACAAATGGATGTGAAACAAATTAATGTGTAACTCACATATATCAGACTTACCCAGATTACTGTACTTCTCAGTAAAAATTTTAATGTTGTTGTATAATTATAATATTGATTAAATCATTATGTTTAATTCTACATGCATGGGTGGGGGTCAAAGTGAGCAAGACACAACCTTTTGCAGAGTGCCATTCAACAAGGTTTTACATATTTGATGTCAAAGTTAATAAAATTATTCATTTTACCTCACATCACCGATTTAGCAACAGTTCATGATAGAGGAGAATAAATACTAGATACAATATACAGGGATACTTAAAAAATTGTAAGTATGCATTTTGGATGTTCTAGAGGTTATCCAAACTGTACAATAGACAAAAATATTTCTATTCTTCACATGAACATCACCTTGCACTCTGACTTCTCAGAGTATGACTCAAACAGACATTATCAATTCACGGACGTATCTCACGTACAAATACCTTTGTCACTCATTTCCTTTTTTTGTGTACAATAGACTTGTACAATTTACAAAATGCTTGATACATTTTGTGTACATACCTGTAGTAAATTTGGACTTATGTCAATATTTCTACTCCTGTACTGAGTTGGTCCAGTGAACTGAGTTAGTGCACTTTTGGTTAACTGTGTAATTAATGTTAGGAAGTAACTTGTAAAACAAAGAAAATAATCCTGTTGTTTACTTAAAATGAAAGAGCAATACACGTCTTTATGGGAAGAGAATTTCCCAATTTTTGTTTTAGACAGACTATTAAAAATTCATGAGATTTATGCTTAAAACAAAATTCTCTCACATATGCCATGGAAAACCTTCATGAAAAGTCACAATAGTAAACACTGAAGTCTACTTGATTAATTGAAAACAGTCTTTCTAAATCAGGCTTTGCTCTGCTCAGTGTCATATTAGAACTAACACATGTTGTTGTTGCATTTGTGACAAGATGAAAATACTGCTGGAATTCAATGGTGAAAATGCATATTAGTTACATGAAATTATTAGTATTATTTTAAACTAATAGTCCTTATGTGCACAAACATCATGCTGAAAGAATTAAATGTCCTCTTGTGGAAAGTTAGTGTTTTTTTTACTGTTGCTAGTTCACATCATAATAAACATTTTGTAGGATAAATTTCTGTAAAAGAACTTACAAAAATATTACTACTTTCTAAAACGATTAACTGTAATTATAGTATTAAAATATACAACTAGAAATTTTCCTCAATGACATTTTTGTGAATTTTTATCAATGCTCAGATACTTCTAGAACTTTATGTATAGAAATAAAAAACTTTTATCCAATGCACATGCAGCTCTACAGACAAAATAAAATGTGTATCTTGAAGACAATTATTATAACACAGTCACAAGAAAAGTATTTTTCATTCTTTAACGTCTCTTAAGTAGAAAGTAGAATTGTCCATCTTTCTGGTGTCACAACATCTCAAGTTGTGAGGAACTGGCTGAACCAATTTCAATGACATTTGATAGAAAGAACAAAGGTGGATTTATCAAAATTAAATAAATAAGCAATCACAAACAGTTCAAGTGTGGCAGCTTTTTGAATTTTTACTATGCAAATTCAACACCAAATGAAGGTATCATTTAAAGGTGTGCTGGCATAGATATCTTAGGTGATTGCCTGTATTCAACAAACCCACATGACAAATGATGCACATGCATATCACGCCCATGAAGCCAACAAAATAAATGCCAAGTGATGCACTGGTACATTTGCTAGTAACGGATAAATTTCAAAAAACTAATCACCAAACTTCATTATATTTGATTTGGTAATTATGATTACATCTACATACAAAATGTTATAGTTTTAAGTAATCACTGTGGATTTACTTTGCACAGTTCCTCATCAGACACCACTGTCAGTACCTCTGAGGGGTAGAACTTAGAGAAGTTCTTGTTTCTTAAACAACAAATCATTTATTGTTAAAAATAAAACATATTGTTTTATGAATACATATGTTTGGCCTAACTCAACACACTTTCAGTTTTTAAACAAGTTATATGTTCTGCTCTCCTCAAGGACTGTCACTACACATTATACAGTTCTAAACATAATGATAATTATAAAAACAATTACTTTAAGTCTGTAAGATTAGAAAATATTTTTCTAGTAGGCCATTTTGAAAGTTTCTCTCTTGTTATTTTTTTATTTAAGAAGTCATGAGCTACTAGCTGAATGAGTTTATTTCTAACAGTTTTTAAAATATGCAACATTCTGTTAATAAACATTTATTTCCCTGTCATCAGCTTTCCTTAATGCAGAGTAATTGGGTGATATTTTTTATCATTGTTGGTATATACACTTTACTCCACCTCTTCTCCCCTACTGGGTCAACAGTAAGTTTATAACTCTTCAATGCTAAATTCCAGGGTTCAATTCCTCATGAAGAACAGTGTGCAGATAACCATTGATTGTGTAGCTTTGCTCTAAAACAAACTCCATCTTTTCAGTGTTATACAGGACAGTAAAATAACATCCCATACAAGTTAAATTCTGTAAACTTTTTCTGATAGGTGTATTCATTTTATCATAGAAAAAGTAATAACAGTGGCCCTACTAGGAACAATTCCAAAAACAAAATTTTTTTCATAGAGCTAATAAGCTCTATGTAACAAAGAGCTAATAAGCTTTGGTTGCTGAAAATATAAGGTGTGTAATCACTGTAACAATTGTTATATTAATTTAAAATCATAGAAGGAAGATTAATAAAGAAAATTGTCAGTTTTCAGTGTACCCTAAATTTATTTTTACAATTTGTGTCATTTAATAAAATTGTAATGATCTGGTTACCACTATGTAGCACATACAGCATAAATAACTTGTAAAACTCTTAAATCTATGCAACTTGAATCTTATTCCATCAAAATCCATTAATGTTACAGTAGTGGTTTCCAAAATTACAAAGATAATTTGAAAAGTTGGTGTTCTGTCTCTATTAAATGCTATATATTTTAGTTCTAACTGTAAATTTTCAGTTAGTATATGTACAATTTGTTCTCACTGATAAAAAAAAATAATTATTGGCCAAGAGAAGATAGTCATTATTTGAATTTTCTTCATCAAGCTACTGTACATGTATAATTATCTCAGATTTGAGTCTTTTTACATACAATGTTGTTTGTTTAAATTGATATTATCACACAATGCCAAAATGGCTTTTTATTTTATTGAACATTTAGTTATGTATTGGTTTTTGATCTTGTATGCATGCTAGATGTAATACGTGCTGTAGTAAATTATGAGAAAGTTTTTTGTAATATCGTATGTCCAACTGAAGAATAAGAAAAATTTGTATATGTTGCTTATTTTTCAACATCAATATTTAATTCTCAGGATGAGATGTATTAAATATTTCAGGCCTTTCCATCATGCTTTGAGCATGCTAGAAACATACAAAGCGAGGATGCTTTGGATGCTCCCTACTACCTTCTCAATGGTACTGGAATTTCTGCTCTGAAATGGCCCCAGGACAGAGAAGCATTGTATATTTTCCACATTGTTGTAGACCCAGAATTCAGGTACTAAACAATTCTTACATTCAGTAATTCATGAATGTTTGTTTCACTACTGAACATTTTCAACTTTCTTTAGCAAAGTCCTCCATGTATATCTTCTAAAAAACTTGAGTGTTGTTTGCTGTTTAATTATAAACGCAACGTTTTCTGGTTTTTTAACAGGCCCACCACTCTAGTAATACTTTGAATTTCTTGTACCAAATACCTACATTTTAGATTATTCTCTGCTTGCTTATAAGCCTAGTACTCAATTATTAGGCCTATTATATTTTCTGACACTGCATTCTTTATGAAGGAACTAGATAAAGAATGCAGTGTTAAACAATACAATAGGCCTAAGACTGATGTCTTCTGATTATGATGTTGGTTTCAGAGCAAAGCCACAGTAAACCATCTGCTGTGTCCGCCTCAGGGAATCAAACCCCAAATTTTAGCATTGTAAATCAATAAACATACTACTATCCCATTGGAGGATTGTCTTATAACTGTCTTCACACCCTAACAATTGTGGTATTAATAAAATTTCTCTTGAATGAATCTAAGTTTCAAATGGACAACAACTGCCTGTTGCAGAAACCTACAAAGTAGAGGACAACATTTTGAAAGTCTTCTGCCTTTCTGAAGGCTGAAGACTTTCAAAACATCGTCCTCTACATTGTAGGTTTCTACAACAGGCAGTTGCTGTCCGTTTGAAACTTAGATTCATCATGAATACTCTGCCTGAACAATCTGTCACAAATTTCTCTTGTTTGGTCAGACACTACACTGTCAAATATCTTTGACTATTGAATGTTTATTATAATGAGGCACAGCAGTTAGTAGGATGTACTATTTTCTCTATTTATATAACAAGCTTTAATGTTTCACAAATACTACATGCATTATAAATATACCTGTTAGACTCAGAATTTCCATATATATTTTTATATATATATATATATATATGCATAAATTAAAATCACTCATAAATGTTTTGAGAGATTCTATGACCTATAAATGTATTAAAATTGGTATTTCTTTCCATTTTTAAGGATTTTTTTTTATTTATATATTTTAAAAAAATTTATAAAGTGTGCAAGTTTTAGTTGTACATATAATATTCAGATTGTATTAATAAGTTTGTGCTCATTTCTTCCAGCCCTTGTGAAATGGATATTGTATTTGCTCTTCAAACTTATGGAAGACCTGTTCGATATAAAATTCCAGTTTTTCCACTCTATGGAGCAATTATATTTGCCAATTTAATTTGGTTGATAATTTCCTACATAGTGTACTGGAAAAAATATAGCTACGAGTCTACTGCACAGTACAGCTCTTAAATACCAATTGTTCCTACTATGATCACTTACTGTCTAGATCCTGAAATTTTAAACATTTCTACTATATACTAGTGAAACATTTTCATTTGCTAAAAATAAGATATTTGTTCAAAAGTGAATTCTACTGTGTTATTTGTTTTTACAATCATTCTAATACACAGGGACTAAAAAATGATGAATATTACTGAAAATATATAAGAGTTGATGTTTTAATATAATTTTATATGCTTTTCAGGAGAGTTATTCCTTTGCCTTATATTCAGCCACAAACAAAGGCACACCAACCCCTAATATTTACGAAGAACCTTGTATTGCTTACTTACTAGTTAGTGCAACTTGAAGTGTGCATATACTACTGTTAATTTACATTAAATGTAGGTTTTATGTGTTTTAATGTTGGTTTTCATATTTATGTATTTTCAAACCAAAGTAGTTTTTACCTGTTCTTTTTTATGCACCTTCAGATTGTTATTGTTCATACCTTTTTAGAAAAAAAAATGAAAGAATATGTACACTTCTAAAAGTGTGCAGTGTTCATCAAACCTGTCAATTTTAATATATAACACATGGACTTACAGTTAAAAAGTACAAACATCTTTCATTGCCATGTGAATTACAATCACTCTTACTAAACACACACACTTCTTATGTATAAAGTCATGAAAATAACTAGGCTACAAAAGTGTATGGCTTAGAAAAAGATGTTATGTCAGTAAAATTTCTGTGATAAATCATACCAACAGTAATGTGAATTTCTGGATTTAATTTTTTTAACATGTAAGAGTTTATTATTACTTATCATTTACTCAAACTAGTATGATTATAGTTTTCTTAGAATGTGCAAAAATTAAAGAAATCACAATGTAACAGATGTTTCTATGGCATTAATCCAGGCCACCCAAATAACCAGAAGATGAATTTGTATCAGCAAAGCATTAAACATTTTCTTTACTATTTTAACAGTCTGTTAAGGATGTCTACAATTGAGAAAATTTAATAGGTATCTGAAATTTTAATATTAAAATAACTGCTGGCACTATCTTCTATTTACATATATATATATATTCCATTAAACAACCAGCACACATAATTTTCAAATTCAGGCTCATGGATAAGAATAACATTACAAAATTATAAACCTCCTCATCAGTCATGTTCAAGTTAAGTTTATTTCAGTGGAGAATTTACTTGTTTACACCCTACTATTAACTTTATAACTAATATACCAAGTACAGAACTGAATGTAGAAAAAAAATAACTTGATCAATATAAAAAAATTTTAACACCAAATAAAATGGACTCTGAAAATAGGAAAGCATATACAAACTATTAAGATCCTTTTCTACACTATGGGACACAAATTATTGCACTGCTACCAACACTGGAACGTTAACATACCATTCTGTCATAAAATAGGTTGCTCAAATACATGAATAATACAGACTAACTTATGTATAGATCTCACTATTGACTTTCATAAAATTTGACAACTATCACACAGTTGATTATGTATGATAATGTATGAGTTCTTGGAAATATAATACTATGAAAACCTTCCAACTGTTTCATCACTGTATTTTATGAAATTAGATTTCCATTAAATTAGTATTATAACATTAATGTTGCTCATTATAAACTTAATGGATTACTCATTGAACTGAAGTCAATTTCTTTAATCTCAAAGGTTAAATAATCTAATATCCTACACGTTAAAATTTTATTTGATGAGTGAAAACTAGGAATATTTGCCAGGTCTTTTGCACAGTCATTAGTCAGTAATATTCAAATGCACAAAAAGAGGATTTATAATTTATATGACATGTATTCTTTAATTCTACGAAATATTAAATGTGCCTGGAGAAAAAAACAATATTAAGAAAATGAATACATATTTAGGTCTGATTTGTTTTCCTGAACAGTTATGGATACTTACTGCTCATTTTATAGTAAGTTAATAATGTTCATTATCAAAACATGCTGGGCTTTTTATTTATTAGCTGACTAAACGTTTTAACCTGCCACTGAAAGAAAGTATTGGTGAATAATGTGATATCTGAGAAAGGACGTATAGTATTATAATAGAAAAAAGCAATACTGATTCTTTAGTATAAAAAATAAGGCAAATTTAGTGAGAAAATTAAATTTACATTATCAACCAAAGTATTTAAATTATAAATTTTTTTTAATTCATGATTTAAGAAGGAGTTACGCATCAATCCAGGGATCAATAACTAGCTACTGCTACAAAACAGAAGCAAAATAAAGAATAAAAACCATCAAAAACAAACAAATTCCTTGACCATTTAGATACTGGATTTGTAATCCAGCAGAAGTCAACTTGAATCATGAGTACAAACAATATCATTATAATTCAAGTAAAACTCCAACAAGCAAAGAAACATGAAATTATCACAATTACTCAGACACCCAGTTACAGTTTCATTTGAAGCTCTAACCAGTTAAAAATTTTCCTTACTGCTACTCTAAGCTGTTATTTCTTACTTTACTTTATACCCTGTTTTATTTATACAGTTTCACAGGTCATGTGTTAAAATTCAATTGCAGGCAAGTAGTAGATACAAAGGTTTAGAACTTTAGATGCTTTAAAGCATACAAGAAAGTACATAAACAGAGCATGCATGAGGATTAACATTCTATCCAAGGCAGTAACTTTAATATGTCAACTCATCTGAATTGATTAATGTATTTTTTAATGAAATATAAGACTTATTTAATGCACAAATGAAAATCAAAACATAATGCAAAGGAAAATTTATGTTTAATTAATCCTGCTGTCTGTGTCAGCTCCACAACATAACAATGACAGTTCTTAAACTTCACAGACTATGCTAAACAGTTAATTGGTTATGAAATGATTCATGCATGGTAACAGGTTAGAATATTTTCAAACCATGACAGGTCAGTGTTACTTGTGAATTATGAAAAAAAATTTCTTATGTTTTAACAATCCTATAGAAATGTACAATTTCATAATTGTTTGTTTTTGTCTATAGAAAAATACAATATTGGTCCGATAAAAATAAATTTTAGAACAGGTGCTCAAAGTGCTCATACAAATTAAGAATTTATTCTCATGGTATAAATTATTTTACATACTGAGTCAGTAAAAGAAACACAAATAAGGGTTTTCATACCTGATTACATGAAACCTTACTGAATATCTTTTAAGGATATGCTGAATACAGAATATCTGAAAATTAACTGTATGTTTGTTTAGTAGCTAAAACACATCTTGAATGAATTTCCAAAGATTAATAAATCATCATAAAAAGTTGTATTTTTTAGTAAAAAATCAAATTGCTACAAAAGTAAATAATGGGTTTTGAACTGTGGACACAATTACACAGATGTATAATCACTCAATTTCTGGTAATCCCTCCCATTCACCAGTTTCTAACTTAAACATTATACATCTACACACACATAAGGCACTTCAAATCAACTAACAATTACTTCTAAAAATAGTTTTAAAATTCCTACAAAAATTGCCCACAAAATGGATTCTTCTTCTGTTGAAGTATCTGATGCATAAACAGAACCTTGACTTTTTGAATCTGATGAATATGAAGAACCTCGTTTTTTAGATCCTCTAGATTCTGCTGGTTTATCATTTTCATCTATTTCCATATATTCTTCAGGGTATATCCATTCAGGAGCATCATCCACCATCACCTCAAGTTCAAACATGCTTATTTCATGAGAGGGATGTCCATATACACCAATTCCAATTGGACGACCAAAACTCCAAGGAATCTCTATTTTATCTAACCCACAGCTAACAGATTGAAGATCATGACTAGCAAGTTCAAATGTTGGTTTCAGTTTCTTTTCTGACACATACAAGTCAGCATCACCAAGAAGGGAGTGTAACAAAATCAATACACCACCATCTGGTGTCAAGCTGTAGTATGTGTAATTCCCACCTCCCACACTTCCAAGTAACTGTTCATGAAAAACTATCTTAGCTTGTACTTGTAATAGAGCAATGATTGTGGTTGAGACAATAATGTGGACACCTAATTTCCAGTACCTCATTTTTTGGCTTTATGCATCCCTAGGAAATTATAAATGAAACAAACATTAAAACATATCAGATTTATATCAACTAAACTACTATTCACTTAATTCAATGATTATTTATAAAAATGTTTACATTTTATAGAACAACATCTTTGTAACATATAAACATATGCAAAAGTATATAAAACTTACTGTACAAGATAATTAAACGTTGTTATTTGAAAAGGGGGAAGAGGGATCATCCAAAAAAGTACAGAAACAAGTTGAATCAAAATGCAAAGAGTATATTTTCAAGCCTATAACTAAGGACTCTAAACAAATAGACAAACTGGGCTGGAAATCCCAATTTTGACTCCACTAAAATTGATACCTACTGTAGACATGAAGTTAAAATATAGATTTGTAGCTTGAGAAAATAATGTAGACACTTGTTTCTTAAGTTTTATTACGTCCATTTATGGAGAATAAATTTTAAGCAACATACATGCATATGCATGCATTCAGTTGAATGTTACATGTTTTTCAACAGTTTACGGCTGCATTGGCTTTTTTATCCACACAACCATTATTTACTGAGCTAGATGGTTTTGTGTAAATGTGTTTAAAAAGCATCAAGTACAAAGGAAGCTGCTCACAACAACATTGAATATGGTTATATATTTATAGCCATGTAAATCAACTTTCAATGAAATATAATTAAGTTTTTAAACAAGTCATGGACATTTGTAGCATTTCGTATAGTATATCTGTCTAGGTTTGGGTGCAAAATACCCAGCCAATTTTGCTGTAGACTTGTGAAACAAAAATATGAACAATATTAATAAAATACTTCTAAAATATGCACTTACAATTTCAACTAAGTACAAAAATCAGTAGAATAAATCACCACTCACAAGAGTAGAGAAATTACTATGGTAATTGTCTACTGTTAGAAAACTCTCTGAAATAATCGCAAAAAACATGTGGAGACAAAGTACAACAGCAAACTCGAGAAATGTCAAATTCAACATGGAAGTTTCCAATTAATGCACTATAAGTTGGACAAATTATTTTCCAATTAATGCACATTAATAAAACATCAGATTTTTTTTCAATGGCTAAAAATGAAGGACTTAGACAAATTCTTCATGGTCATAAATGATGGTGCTTGAATTAATTTTAAAACTATCCTATGACATACTGAATTCATTACTACTGTCCAGGTTTCAGTAAAATATTCATAGCCATTTTCTCTGTAGCAGCTTCTAAAACTAATCAGTAAAAGGCTGGAGATACTGTTATAAACATATACATGGTTTACTCTAATAAAACGAAGAAATTCCAACTAGTATAATGATGCTTAAATGGCTTCTACATTTCTGCAATGCTTTAATGGCTTCAGAGAAAAACATAGAAAATGTTAGAGTGGAAATCTCAACTTTGAAGAATCAACTTCAATATAGCCCTACAACCTTCACAGGAGTTTGTTTAGTGGCTGTACATAGATTTTGGTGCAGTATACCTAGCCATTTTTACTGTAGGCTTCAGAGTTTGAATGGCTTCGATGAGAAACTTGGCCAGTAGCAATGAAAATACTGGTAAAATCTCTTCTTTCTCTTCCAAGAATCAACATAAAAATAGTCCTATGACCTGTGCAGGAGTTTTTTTAGTAGGTTTGAATAAAATATTGAGAGCTGTTTTTCTGCAGGCTTGTGAAAAAAGAACAATGTGAATAATAATAATTTGATAGATTTTGTCTAACAATCATAAAATCAACTTTTTTTTGCTATTTTCAATATTTTAGCAGTCTTAGCCATTGAGATAAAAGATCTTGAGTATTGTTTCAAGAACAAGTCTACTTTTTAAGATGGTTTTTGCCTGTATGTTCTTTTATAGATTTTGAGAAATTCATGGGCAATTCCTATTATGAACCACTATCATGGTTCATGATAACCATCTTTAATGTGTTAATACCTAAAGGTTTACTTTTAATGTTTTATCATAAAATAAACCATAAGGTCTTGATATTACCTTAAGCACATTGTATCTAAGCTTGCATTAACAATTAAGAAAGTTTGAAATCAATGAATTCTGTACTAGCTATATTGATAACACTGTCCACAAATACTTAGACAGTGCTGTTTCCTGTCAGAGTGCAAGTCTACTGGCCTAATAAGCAAATCAGTAGTTTAGTTTGATCTTGTATACGGTGACTTTCAATGTCCATAATGAAAAAGTCAACTACTCTCATAAGCATAGTATAGAGGGTTAAGAACATTATATTAAAACAGTTTTGATTATGCAAATAATTAAATCATGTGACAACCACAGCTGACAAACCTGTGATGGAACAGAACGTATCATTACATTTTGTCATTGTTTTGCAATCCATAAGGAATACGATGCCACCAAAAACTGAATGCTTTTGGGAAGGGTGTGTAATAGTCCTTACTAACACAATTTAATCATACACTCAGATCATAAAGATGTGTGTAAATCAGAGATTTTGAAATTTCCAAGACAGATATCCCTTTTATTTAAAATCATTGGAAAACAAAGAAATATGAACCAACTAAGGCACCAAGACCATGCAGAAGAATATCTACAAGAAGTTGTGTACCAGCCATGGTTAGCAAAGTGTAGTATCTTTTAACAGGTGATAATTCACAAACATTAAGTTCAGTAGCAGAAGCTATCCATATGTCTGGGGCAGCAGTACACGAGCTGCTAACATGGCATATCCATTCAATCATTGCATACCTTAAGCACATGGAGAATGAAGCAGGTACAAATGCTATTCCCACATAAATGGAACTGTTGAAACAGGCTATAAAAACTGTCATTCTCATTTTCTCCATGAGTTATACAAAGCATGATGGGATGAGTGATATGCTTTGGGCATGACAAACGTATGACAGCACCTTTAACAATGGAAACTATGATGCGAGGCTATTGTCAAAATGCAATATGACAAAACAAGGCAACGTCGACTGCAATGATATCATGGAGCTCAAAAATAATTTTAATATAACATACTTAACCCCATGTATATATACAAATGCATGTTCGATTATCATGGAATCTGTTTTTAGAATAACAGATGTACCCAGATTTTAAAATGATTCTTAAGGGCAAGAAATCCTTTGTGGTGTACAAGTGTTCATGTACTCACTATGCAAAGAAATCCATTGGAAACTATAACTAAGTTGTTAAACATAAAAGAAATGCCAATATGATCAGGAAATATATCTAGTGTACTTCTCCACATACATACACAATATAATGTTGAAATTTTAACTTTACTTTAGTGAATAAAACTGAGATTAAGAGAAAGAATTTGTGAGAGAGTTGTGACTGTTATTACGAAGATGGCTTGCTTCTCAGGAAAAAAGTTAAAGAGAAGAGTTTCTGAAATTGACAGTGAGCACACAGAATTTAAAAAATGTATTTATAATGGCATTTCACTTAACTTTGACACCTAAATTCACTGATAATAAATTATATGCGGAAACATCTATTAGCTGAGTTCTTGCATAGATCTTAATATATAACGTTGATAAACGGAAACATCGGCACATGTAGATATGTAGATCTTGAAAGTCGAGCTGTTCAAAAGTTGAAAATAGCATTGATAACTGGACCAATTGTTGGTTGAGATGTTGCAAAGGAAATATCTGCTGAAGCTTTTTGCCAGACACTGTGGTGTGACAGGACCAAACTTTTGTGAGTATCAAGGTGCTGGATCACAGAAGAGTACCAGAAGCTGTACAGAAGCTCTGTGGTGTGACAAGACATTATGCAAGGTTGTGGGGACCAGTGTGGGTTCCTTTATGTCCATGAGCTCAATAGTTACCCACACTGGTCCCCACAACCTTGCACCAGACACAAAGTATACTTGGCTGACATTGAAGATGAATGCATATTAGGATTGGACTACTTACTACCGAGGAAGTTTGTCATTAATTTTGATAACATGACGTTTGGGAACAACAAAGGCCAAGTTCCGGTAACTGTTCAAAGAGAGGTTGAACTTATTAGGTGTCATCAAGCTCAAGTCAAAGTGACTGAAGGCGTTGATGATGGTGAAATGGAACCAGGTATAGATATTAAACAGAGCATGAAGCCACTGGATACACTCCAACAAAGTTGATGTTTGGTCGGGAACTTCAGTTGCCCGTGGATCTGTTAACAGGACGCCCACCTTATGAAGAGTTGCCTGAGAAGGTGTCAGAGTTTGTGAAAGTGTTATCAGAAAGGATGGATGATATTCACCATCAAGTGCGTTCAAACTTGAAAACTTCTGCTGATTCGATGAAGTTATCTTATGATAAGAGATCTACTGAAGTCAGCTTTGTACCAGGAGACAAGGTGTGGTTGTATAATCCCAGGAAGACCAAAGGGAAGTCTCCTAAGTTGTCTTCTCCATGCGAAGGCCCATATGACATAGTGGATCGTCTCTCAGACGTGACTTTCCAGATAAAATGTGGTTGACGAGGTAAGCCAAAGGTGGTGCATGCCAACAGGCTTTGGCATTATCACGGTCTAGGACATTTCAGTTGGGACAAAGTGAACAACAGAACAAATGACGCTGCTGAAGACGTGTCACCTGAAAAAGCCACCGTCGAAGAAGAAACTCTACTCAGTTTTGAGAAGGGAAACGGTGAAGCTCTTGATGAAGTTACTACCACTGATGTGACTGTTACCGATGATAGGACATTTCCTGATGAAGCAGATGAACCCCACATGAAGCAGAAGCCAACGAGACGGAGACCAGTACTGAAGAAGATACGTCCCGTAAAAATAAGAGACTTTGTTGAATTTTGATTTTTCGTTTGTAAATTATGTACATTTATTTAAGTTATTGTTAATTGTTTATTGGTTTAATGTAAGTGGCATCCTCGGGAGGTTACTAGATGTACGGTATTCATTTATATAAGACGGCCAAGAAGTGAAGGCAAGGTAATATGTAATTGAACTGCGGACAGAGAGACGTACTATTGAGTTGAGCACGTGAGACGTTCGTTGTGGATTATAGCGTTTGTTATAGCGCGACTGTGGAAATTAAGTGTATTGCAAAGTTGTATTCAGAAAGAACAAACCAGTTTTATTTAAGAAAGGACTTGTATCGCTAAGATTTCTTCGGAAAGAATTTTTACGGAAAATTAACTAACGACTGGAGACGTAACAATACTTAAGACAATAATATCAAGTCATAGTTTTGTTGCTAAACGACAAGGGCAAACGGAGTAGTATTAAAAGACAACTGGTCTTTATGTCTATTAGATAAATTTCTATTTTTTCTTACTTGCAACGATTAATTAAATATTGCGTTTCATAATCATAATTTCAATAATTCAATGCATAGATATTGTCGGAAATACCGTATTCTTCACATTTTTCCGAGTAATGTTTTCCCGACAAGCATGATTTTCATGACTTGGGGTTGTAGTCTTGCTCCCCCGTTGTGCCTGTAATAATGACATAGTTCATATATTTATTTCTCTTATTCTTTAGATAGTTCTTGCGACTTGGGCAATTCTCTTTGTTTTCAGATTTATCTTCAGCAATATTTGCCTTATCCCCACAAGTTTAAACAGGGGAAGCCACTTTTCACATCTACTGTTCATGTTAAGTAGTATTCCAAGTCCATATAAAGAATGACCGAAATTTAAAATTTTCAGAAATATTTAGATGGATTTGTTTTAACCACAAAACAACACAATGGGCTATCTGTGCTATGTCCATCATGAGTATCGAATCACGGTTTTTAGCAGTGTGAGCCAACAGACTTACTGCTGAGCCACTGGAGATATTTACAAAGAGAACTGCCATCTTGGATTTTGCTTAAACAACGCAAAGTCATAGTAACACCAACAGTTCAGTAAATATCAATATTCTCATACAAATATTTATTTAAATTTGAAAATACACGTTCTAACGTTAAACAAAAATTATTATGAAATTATTTTCAGTATGGGCAATATAACTTTTAAATCTTATTTCAACTAGCTATCAATACAACATGTCCGCTATCAAATCATAAATAATATTCAACGTTAAGCTGGTACACAGTTAAAAAACATTTTATTTAGGCCTATCTATGACCTTCAAAAGCTGACAACTCTACATGTTGAATATTATTTATGATTTTAGCTTTATACACAAGTGCCAAAATACTATAATTATGTCCTCTATCTTCACCGGAAATCAATTGCTTGAAAAATCCGAGGATCTTATCATCTTTAATACAGTACTCCTTATATAATTATTTAATTTGGAAATGCAATTACAGATAGAGTTAATTTTTGTTTTCTTTCTGTGTGTCTTTATAAAACACTAAAGTATCTTCATCAATTTGAATTGTGAGTTAGAATTAAAGAAAATAAAGATGGCGCTTTGATATTATCAACTTTGAAAGCGAAACAGCGTTTTCTACCCATAACGTAGTTTAATAAAAATTTATATATCATATAAATTGTAGTTCTAAACATATTTATAAGTTAGTACCGCTATTCTAACTCTTATCTTCTTGATTAAATACTCTGCTGTGTTAAAATTAAATAACTCATGCTTAAGATCTTCGGTATTTCATATCACAGGACATTCGAAATCGAATAGATCATAAGAACAATGTGTTATTGTTAATTTATTTATTATAATATATAGATATATATATCTATTTAATTACTTTAAAACTTGCAAGCCTATACTATACTATAGTCTATACTCACTCTATAGTATTGTACGTTGTATCCTTGTACAAAGAAAAAGACTAATTTAGTAACTAAACGTAAAATTAAAAAAGGTAAAGCTATCTTGAATTTGAAAGTTGAACTTGTGACATTGGGTTAGGCTTTTACTGCCTTTAGTTAATTTATTAACGTTGCTGGAACTTTAGCGTTTTTTGTTTTTATTAGCTTTAAGTTTAAATTTAACTAAACTTAAAAGTGATTTCGAATGCTAAATCTAAGAATGAAGCCTTTGCTGTATGATTTTATGCCGTCTGATTTAACATTCAGAAAGAAAATACTTTGGACAGGGTCAGAGACCAGCTTAAATCTTCGTGGACTTGCTACTTGTTTGTATGTAGCCCTTATATTAAATATACTAGTTGTAGCAGTTGCTGATGAGACTGATGACTGTAAAATTATCAAAGAAAAAAACCCAGAAATAAATAAGAGAGAAAAGGAATTACTGGATCGCCTTCGCCCACTGAAGGGAATCATGTATGTCAGATTTTCAGTTTATGTAAAGTTACAGCACTGACTTCAGTATGATAAATCAAATAAATTCCTTTATTTGTTTCTTGAAATTTAACATTGAATTCTGTGTTTAGTAAACCTAAAAAGTCATACCCATGTTCCTTGCACTTAAAATAATATGTATAACAAATTTTCCTGTTGAAATAAAACTTCCTTTTGGCTAGTGTTAATCACAGTCTAGTAATTACACTGACTGAGTGGTAAGTTCTACTTTTTTTTGTCGTTTAGGTCATTGATCTACTTAAGAAACTAACAACTTTGCTTTTCATAGCTCTTCACTGGTAGCAAGGGTCCAGTTTGACTGCAGTAATAATTTTGTGCTTTCTCTCATTTAACCATCTGAAAATCCAATTTAGTAGTCTAGTTTTGTTAGCTCATCATTTTTTGTGACTCCTTATTAAAAGCTTGTTAAATCTTAACTTAAGTACACCACATCTACCACATCAAATAGCACATAAGGTCCTAAAAATTTAACTTATTACTAAGGGACAATTTCCCGTTAATGAATCTATTTCTTTTCTTTTATGATATTTCACTAAAGAATTTAACAAAGCTTCTTTTATCGAACTAGAATTTTTCCAACTGTAGAAATAAGAATAAACGGCCAATAATTTCAAGGTCAACTTGTATCGCTGTCTTTAAAAATAAGAGTAAAACTAATGGTTCTTCATTCACTCAGTGACCTGCCTACTGTTACTGACCTAAAAGAAATGAAAGGGGAGGTTTGCCTATTTGGTCTTTTGACCTCAATGTTTAGTTATGGTGCTTTATAAATTTTTTGTCTTTCAATTTTTCCTTTACTACCAAAGATTAATATCTACATGACTCAGATCAATTCCAATATTTTCCATAGAATGCTTTAGGTCAGAAGTATTGTTAACATCCTTTATTATGAAAACAGATGATAACATTTGAAAGCTCAGCCATCTCATAGTTTTAAAAACCTTGTCATCAGTATCCTAAATGTAAGGGCCTAATCCCTATGGTAAATTTTTGCTGGCTTTTAATATACTTAAAAAAATTGTTGTTGTTAATTTTATTATTATCAGCTAATTGTTTCTCACCGTTCCTTCTGGGTTTCTGAATTTATTTTCTATTCTAACAAAAGTTCTGAGTTTTCATAAATCTCCCATCCTATATGTCAGTTTAAACCTCTCAAATGTATTTCATTTATCTCTGATTTTGTCCTTTATGTCTTTAATAAGCCAATTACATTTGATCTTTCGTGGTTTTCTTTCCCTCATTTTAAAAACTTGAGCCCAGAGTCTAGATGATGTTTTTAAAAACATTGCTGGCAAGAATACTAAAGGACATAAATTTTAAGACGTGCTGAATTCAGACATGGCTCTAGATAAGGCATTGCTACAGAGTTGTCAGTCTGTGAAATAGTTTAATTTTGGGAATTAAAAAGAAAATTGGATGAGTATTTTAAAGATCAGTGTTAGATATCAAAAACGGATTTCTGTGTAATATGTTATTGAGTGATAGTAGAAAATGGGATAGCCAAATTGCCCTTTATCTTCTGGAAATTAAACAGAAATAAAGTTTGAAAGGGTGTAAACATGAAATGTCTATTTAAAGTAGAATTATAACGTAACATTCTATCTCAAATAATGTTATTTAACCATATAATTTTTTTCTAAGTTTTTTTTTCATATTTCCAGGACTTTGTGCTATTAAGGCTATGAGAATGCATTTATTTTTGAATACAGTCAAAATTCAAACTTATGCACATTCAAAAAACATTCCACAAATCTAGATGAATTTTAAGCATTGTAAAAATGTCAATTTAACTTCTAAGGCTTTTGTATAAGCTCTTTCATCTTAATGCTTTTCAATATAATTATGAGCTACTGGAATGTAAAGTGCAGTTTGGATCATAGAAATTTTATTAAGTGTTAATGTACGTGTAGATTGTAAATTTATGTGTACAATAAACAACCAACTGGACACATTTAATGATCTTGCTAAGGATATCTGATAAAAAAAAAAATTTAATTGTTTATTTGATATTTTCTTCAAGTTCTGAGACTGAAATACATAAATGTTTTATGTTTATTTATGTTGTGTCCCTATAAAACAAGATAGTCATTACATAGCTGAACACTTATTTACTTTTCACAATTTACAACATATATAAATTAATTTTACTTGACATAATAAAAGAATTATTTATAAAATGTTACATTCCATCAGCATTTCCCAAACTATGATTCGCGGAACATTAGTGTTCCATCCAAGATTGATAGGTGCTCCGTGAGAAAA